CCAGACCCGGCCGCCGCTCAGGGCGGGAACCACCCCGAGCTATCTCTCGGGGAGGGAGGGGACTTCCCCACCTCATCCAACCTCGCAGCCCCTACTTTGACTCCCATCCTCTCCCCCATCCAGGGGAGATCCGCCAGGGCGGGAGGCTCGGCCCAAGGCAGCACCCCGGGTGGCACGCCTGCCCCCCTCTGGTGGGGGGAACTCGCGTCGTTCGCGTTCGCCCCGGCATCGCCGCAGGCCAGCCCCACAAGCGTGGACGTGCCGCCCGGACGCTGGGGCGACTCCCTTGGGTGGGCCCGCACGCCAGCCCCCCCGTCTGCCACGCCGGCGGTGAGTCCCGCCGAAGTGAGGACGCCTTCGCCGACCCCGCCGGAGAACACCCCAGGTGGGGCGCCGACCCCGTTCTGGTGGAGCTTCTCCGCCCCCGCCGAACCCCCCGCGCCTGCGGGGCCAGGCTCGGGAACCGCCCCCCCGCCGCATCCGGCCCTCCGCGGGGGGCACACCTCCCCCGCTCCGCAGCCGGGGGACGGGCTACCCTGGCCCAAGCAAATCCCCGCGGAGGAGTTCGTGGAATGGCTGAGGTGGGCCTCTCCCACCCCCACGGAGGAGGAGCAGGAGGAGGCGGACGCGACCCCCTGGTGGGAGAACCACTGGTTTGCCGGCCGCCGCCGGGAAGTGGCGCTGGAGGTCCGGAGCGTCCCTATCCCCAACTTCTTCTTCCGCCTCATCGTGTGGTCCTACGGATGGCTGGATGCCGGCCTGACCGTCCTCGTGGGGGAGAGGTGGGTGAGCTTTAAGGTAGTCGTGTACGTGCTGGGCTCCTTCTACCTGGGCGCCATGGGGATCTGCTTTCTGGTCCTCCTCCTCGACCACCTGGCCCGCCCCTTTTTCTGGTTCTACCGCAGTCTAAGGCGCTCCCCCACCTTCCGCGATTTCTGCACCCGGGTGGAGGACAACCGCCGGTTCCTCCTCGATCTCGACTGGAGGGGGCCTGATGCCCAACCCGTGGACGACGACTTCTTCAAGGACATCATCCGAGGGAGGAGCGACCAGCCCCCGAGGCTGCCCAACCACCTCGTGGCCGAAGTCGGGGGCCAGCGGGCACGCCTGGATCGAGGGCAGTACGGTGACCCCATCCGGAAGGAGAAGCGGGCGGGCCAGGACTTCCCGCACGCCCGGGTGCATGACTGCACGGACCCTGACCTCCGACGCCGCCTGGAGGGTGCGGACATCAAGGTGGTCCACCTCTGCAGGGCGGGACCCGTGGGCGGCTGTCCCAGCGTGGACGCCTTCGCCATGCACTTCCGGAAGTATACCGCGGTCGACGCCAAGGCCATCCTCGACCTCACCGAGGACAGGGGCCTGGGAAGCCCCTTCCTGGCCGGCTTCCGCACCCTCTGGAGGGCATTCTGGGGTGGGGTCCAGCGCATCGCCCATTCCTGCTTGGCTCGGGGTTGTTGCTGTTGCCGGAGGGGGGCCCGCCTGCACCGGCCGGGGCCGCGCCAGGTCACCGCGAACCCCCGGGGACCTCAGCAGGAGGAAGACGACTGGGAACCCTGCATGGCCGAAGCAGTGGGCTGGATGGACGCGAAGGGAGGGTACTGTTGCCTCCAGAAGCATGGCACTTGCGAGGATCGGAGGGGACCCAAGCCCACCCCTTTGCTCATCGAGGACGGGCCCACGTCCGACGCCCGGGGATGGCCGCGCAACGGGGGAGGGGCACCGATGGCCTGCCTGTGCCGCTACCACGGCCTGGAGTACCACAACCTCCGCCTGAGCCTCCAGTGCTCGGAGCCAGGCTGCTGGCACATTGGGGAACCCGGGTTCGGTGGGAAGCGCCTCTGCCTCAGGCACGCGAACCCCTCTCCGCAGCCTGCTCGAGAGGGGGAGGGAAGGGCGGACGCTAGCAAGTCCCCCCCTGACCCAGCGCGCCTAAGCAATGCCGGGCCAGCCGCCGAACCCTCCGCGGTCCCCACTGCGGGCCCTGCGGAGGGGAAGCCCGCACTGGGGGCAACAGGGGAACCTCCCTCCCCCCCGCCCGCGGAGCCGGCCGCCTCCGAGGAGGTGTCCCCTAACCCCGCGGCCGCCCCTGGCGTGCCGGTGGGATCTGACTGCCACCAGCTGACGCACGGCGTCCCGGGCGCACTCGTGTCTGAAGGCACCCCCGAAGGGGATGGGGAGGCCCCCGCGACTGTGAATGGGGGGAGGCCTACGCCACTCCTGACCATCCCCACCCAGGCGGAGGATACGGTCGGACGGAAGTACTTGATCCGCTTCTACCCAGAGGTCTAAAAGGACTATTTTCCAGTCCCGTCATCATGTTCCTAAAAAATAGTACCCGTTCCTATATTATAGTCCCGAACCATGCGCCATCAAATATGCATCAGAAAACCATAGCCGTAATCGTTTCAGGTAACTTCACCCATCAAATACTTAACGTGCATCAGAAATAATTAACACATCCACATCATACAATACGTTTCATCGGGGCGAGCGCTTGTATGAAAAAAACATAGCAATAGTGACCCAATAGTTTAAACCAAGGAGGAGAACGAGAGGGAGGAAGAGTCGCCCGACAAGAGTAAACGTAGCACCAACGACAATACATGTCTACATCTATATTTACACACATACATATTTATACCATACATATAGGTATACATATATATATATATATATAGAGAGATATATACAGTCCCGTCCCGTGCCCGTTTGAAGTGCCTGGCCACTCGGGCGAGAACACCATTTTGGAAAGGAACTGGCCATGCTCGACCTCGGGTTGCGGCCGCCGCGTTTCTGCCTCTCCTCCAGCTCTTTTGCTGCAGCCTCGCGGCCCGAGCTGTTTCGAGGATGGCTTCAGAGGCCAAGCGCCCCAAGCAGGGCGCCGTCCGCCAGGCTAGCTCGGCGGACGCAGATGAGCTGGCAGAGATGTGGGCGAAGTTTATCACCAAGCCAGACGGGCGCCAGCAGGGGGGAGAACTGCAGGAGGAGGACGAGGAGGAGAGGAGGAGAGGAGGAGGAGGAGAGGGAGAAGGAGGAGGGGGAGGAGGAGGAGGAGGAGGAGGAGGAGGAGGAGGAGGAGGAGGAGTGGGAGAAGGAGGAGGAAATAATCGTAGTGCTGAGGAGGATGAGGAGCAGGACGAGAAGGAGGAGGATTCCACAGGAGCAGGGCATTCATGAGAACGAGGGTTTGGACTGGGTATGGGGGGCGATAAGGACATTTGGGATTGATGGGGCCCGTTGTGATGTAAACGGATCCGTCGATCTGGGGATCTATGTCCCTCCTCCTCCTCCTCCTCCTCCTCCTCCTCCTCCCCTCCCCTCGTTCTCACATATGCTATCCCGTTCCCGTGGAATCCTCCTCCTCCTCCTCCTCCCTCCTCCTCCGCACCGCGACTCTATCCTCCCCCTCCTCCTCCTCCTCCTCCTCCTCCTCCTCCTCCTCCTCCTCCTCCTCTTTCTCCTCCTCCTCCTCCTCCTCCTCTTTCTCCTCCTCCTCCTTCTCCTCCTCCTCCTCCTCCTCCTCCTCCTCCCCCTCCTCTTCCTTGTCATCCTCCTCCCCCACCCTTTTTAGCATGTATTCATTATTCGTATGCCTTTATCCGTGCGCCCCCGTGGCCCAGGCTCGAGTACACTCAGGAGCTCGACGGCCGGCAGAATCCGACTACGATCATAGAGAATGAGGCCCTCCTGAAGGGCACGCGGCAGATCTGTCCTTCTGGCGGCGTGCCCCAGAAGGTGGCGGAGGCATCGGTCACCAGTATTATGAGAGGAGGATGGGAGGAGGAGGACGAAGAAGAAGAAGACGATAATGAAGAGAAGGGAGGAGGAAGGAAGAGGAAGAAGGAGGGGTACCGGATGATGAGGAGGAGGGGGGGATGAGGATGAGGGGGAACGGAGCAGGGAGGCGTAGGAGCTGGAGGAGCAGGGGGAGGAGAGGATGAGGAAAGGGGGAAGGGTAGGGAGTAAAACAATGCGGAATCGAAGAAGATGGAAAGAATACGGAGGAGGTGGCGTGAAGGGGTTGTCGGGCTCACCGAGGCTAACCGTACCTCGCCGCAAGCGGTGAGATGCGGTGAGCCTCGGTGAGCCACTCACATCGAGACCTCGAAACCAATATGATAGCATCGCTCCCAGGCGGCGCTCATCAAAATAGCAGAGGCTAACTCCGAGACGTGGAAGCTCCAGAAGGAGTCTAAATTGTGGTCTGCAACGACAGCCAGAATGATACGGGCAATGCTACGACATGTTGCCAAAGCAATATCGAGAACTACGGTGCCGCACTGGGCCAAGGTCTTCGTCGATTCAGACCTTGCCAAGACCAGCGACGATGTCGACGCTGGCACGGGGGCTGACAGCGGCAAGACGAAGCAGATGAAGAAGGATATAGGGCAACAGTGGGGATAAGAATGCCAGGAAGAGCAGGCAGGAGGAGGGCAAGGACGCGGGTACCAGCGGCAGTGCCAGAATATGAGGATGATGAGGATGTGCGAGAGGATAAGGATATACAAGGAAGAGGATGATGAGGAGACGGAGGACTAGGACGACTAGGATGACTAGGAGGACTGGGATGAGGATGAAGAGGATAGGAGGATCGATGAGGAGGAGGAGGAGGACCTTGGCCTCACGGCAGACCAGCCAGGACCTTGGCCTCACGGCTCTGGCAGAGGAACGGGGCTATCGCCTCGGCTATGAGAAGGAGCTCCAGGACCGACGGTCGACAAACAAACAGCAGACACTAACGCTGAGGGGTGTCATCAGGAACTACGCGCATACAGCACGATGGTCATCGTATAACTACGCGCAGACAACACGATCCGTCAATCACAATGTATCCTAAGTTTGCCGCTGCCCATCGTGCTGTCTGCGCGTAGTTCCTGATGGCGCCCCTCAGCTGAACCTCTCCAGGTTCACCTGAGCAGGAGGAGGAGGAGGAGAAGGAGGAGGAGGAATAAGGGAGAGCTTGGGTGGAGAGAAGGCGGGAGGAGCATACAGAGATCATGGAGGGAGAAGTGGAGGGAGGACTTGCGGGTGGGTCCCTCGCAGTCGGCGTGGCGCATCCCTCTGGGCACCGACCAGCACCCCGAGTATGCGGTCGCCAAGGCCGAGGATGGGGAATCCTTGCTCGTGGCAGTCTGGCAGGACGATTTCAAATGGAAGGTGAGCGGGCCCAGAAACCCAGACAACACTCATCTATCCCCTCAATCCTCTTTCCCTTGACTGCCACCATAATGTGATTATCCTCCCTCACCTGCACCTTGCCTCCCCTTGACCTCCCGTGCTTCACTCGCAGCCCTGCTCCATATCACCCTCCTCCTGCTGCTTTACCTCCAGCCTCCTCCTCCACCCTCCTCCTCCTCATCCTCCTCCGCCTCCTCATCCTTCTCATCCTTCTCCCCGCCCTCCCCCTCGATCAACGCATCTCACTCTTCTCCCGCCTCCTTACCCTCCTCATCCACCTGTTTGTAGTGTAAACGCGTTCCTTTCTGAGAGGTGCCTGGTACCACCGCAGACGATCCTGATGTGCCTGGCAACTCGATCATGAGAAACGACAATATCTTCTTCAGGGTGGCCCACACCACGAAGAAGACAGAGATCCTCGGCCGCTACGTCAAGAAGGGCGGGAAGCAGTGGATGCAGATCTGGCACGAGGGTGCACAGGTGATCCAGTTGGTAGGCTACCACAACGATCAGAAGGCCAAGGAGTGGATCATCAGCTCCTGCAAGCTCTACGCCAACAACACGAGCAAGGAGGACTTGGATGACCTCAAGCGCAAGTGGCTCGACGACGGCAACAAGGCAGAGAGGCAGGCGGCGAAGCGTCCAGCGGCTGCATGCATGAAGAGGCCTGCGGCGGCACCAGAGGACGAGGAGGACGAGGATGACCAGAACGGCAAGAAGGCCAAGCTTGCCGATTCCGAGGACGCTGAGCAATCCAGCATGGGCGACGACGGGGAGGAGCCCGCGGAGTCCGACGTGCCCGAACAGCCTGAGGCAGATGAGTCGCCGCCACGTTTGAAGCGAGGCAAGCTGGCTATGATGCCCAAGCCTGCTGCAGCGATCGCCTCGCCACCGCACAGAGAGACGGCAGCGAGCGATTCGCCCTCACCTCGAGGGGCGGCCAAGCCATCGCATGATGTTGGCTCGGCACAGCAAGCCACGCCGCCAGCGGCAGAAACGCTTCAGTCGCCCGTCAAGGGCTCGCCAGGCTCGGGCACGCGCAAGGTGCCGCCGATGTCGCCAATCTCCGATTGTTTTTAGGCGTGCGGAGCTGGCGCTGGGAGGGGAAGGATGGCAGGAAGTCTGGGGCAGGGATGGGGATGCATGCCAGGACTTGTCACTCGGCATTCTGTAAGCGGCCAGGTCGGCGCTTTGGCGCTGCAAAGGGTCGACGAGCATACGCTCTCATCTTTTAGAGCCAGATGTGCTCGCTATTGTTTGCCTGTTTCAAGGCGTCAGTTCTGCAGCGTTGCAGTTGAGAGAGCTGTTGGATGCGCCCCGAGCATCGGCATCTGGCAGTTGCGTTTTCAGTACTCGTCCAACTCATCTTTTTTGCTCGCTGGCTGCCGCCAGCTGTCGCAAGGAGACGCCCCGCCCTGCGCCTCACGAATCAATGAGCAAGCGCGTCAATGTAACAAGGACGCCCGACAGCATGCTCGGAAATAAGCAATAACCTAACGCTAAATCCGAACAACACTAACAACACAAACGGTATCCAAGCCCGAACCCACCCCAAAGCAAACCAGTCCGCGACTAACACGCACACACCTACACACAACACTCCACACGAAAAACAGCACTGTCGCACGGGGGCAAACAACAGATACCTTCGAATGAAACAATATGGCGACTCAAGAGTCAATATCAATTGTGTCCCTGACCTCACGTCTTTCTCCTCTGCTCGCAAACCCTTATGAAATACCAACGGTGGCCGTGCACAGACGCGCCGTAAACCAGGGCAACCTCACCTTTCGAAAACACGATGGGGCCTTATCGCATTAAGCTTCTCTGCCTCACCCCTCTGCTCGCGCTGGCGTTGGCAAGGTCTCGTACATAAGATACAAACACACATGGACATGACTCGAGGTGGATTCGTCGGGGAGCAGGGCCAACCGCCAGAAGCAATGCGAAGCACACATACAATCAGACAGTTCTCCCCGCCGTACATCCGCATCATTTTGGCTCAACCATAGCTTGGCGAACCTGTGAGATTTCGTTCAGCTTCCCTGACACTTGACATATCGAGATGTCGACAGGCGAGTCCGAGGTGCCCGAGCTGCCAGTCAGCAGCAACGACGGACAGTGGGACACGTTGGAGTACGCGACGAGATTCCCAGATGCATGTCCGCCCATTGGCTCCAGCTTCTGGGAAGATGGCACACCGAGGGAACACGTCTCAGCGGCAGAGACGGCTACGTTTCCAGAGGACGATCCAGCACAGCAGGAGCAGCAGCAGCAACAGCAGCAGCAGCAGCAGCAGCAGCCGCAGACGGCTCCAGACGACGATCAGCAACAGCAATCGCAGCATAGGGCGGCTCCAGAGGCCCAGGTGCAGCAATCGCAGACGGAGCCTGACGACATCGACGCCACCCGCGGAAGCAACGGCATCGTCGGCACGCCCCCCGTCACGGCCGAGGCGGCTTTGCAGAACCCAGCCATGCTCGATAGCTTGCCACCAGCCGTCGCGGAGCTCCTGAAGTCGCTCAGCCATCAGGTGCAGGAGGAGCGGGAGAAGAACATCGCACTTCGCCGAGAGTGGCAGATGTCGCTCGGGGTCGGGGCGCCGAAGGTGGAGCAGCAGCAGGTCGAAGTCGTCGAGGTTGACTCCGAGGATCAACCAGAAACTCCACGTGATGATGATGATGATGACTGGAGAAGGCAAAGCGTCAGTCGATGGAGGAGTCCCTGCGAATCAGGAAAGAAGAGGAGGAGACTGCCGCTGCAATTCGGGAGTCAAAGCTGGAGGCCGAGAGGAAGGGCATCAGCGCGAGCCCAGATAGAAGGAGCAGTACAGCCAGAGCGAGCACGTGGAGAGCTGATGCACATGTACCCGAACCAGCTATCGTACCTAAGCGGCCTGCACACGAGGCCGGCGATGGTGAGCGAGCGGCCAGGGCACCACGGACGGATGGGGGCACGCTCGCAGGCAGCCAGATGCACATCGACGGCAGCAGCGGCGCAGGGCAGACTCCTGGTGGCGCGGCTGCTGGCACGCAGTCACAGGCTGGGTGGGCAGATGAGACCTCACCCCCAGGAATGAGGTAATCGCGGAGGCTCATCTGAGGCTCATCGGAGGCTCATCTTAAGCTCATCGGGTACTCATCGGAGGCTCATCGGCAGCTCATCGGGTACTCATCGGAGCTCATCGGGGCTCACCGCTCGCGGTGAGCCCCGATGAGCACCCGATGAGCGTCAATGCTCGAGGCTCACCGCTCGCGATGAGCCCCGATGAGCACCCGATGAGCGTCAATTGTCGGGGCTCACCGCTCGCGATGAGCCCCGATGAGCACCCGATGAGCGTCAAGTATCGGTGCTCACCGCTCGCGATGAGCACCGATGAGCACCCGATGAGCTTCGATCAGGTCGAGGCCGGCGCTGTGCCAGAGACGCCCGAGAAGAAGCCGCGCAAGGAGATCTCCGGGCGGATCCTGTCCAGGGAGCAGTCGATCGAGAACATCGCGCAGAGGGCTGCGAACCCTGACTCCGTCGCCATCAGCGTCCACAATCTTCTCGTGGAGATTTTCCAGAGCCCAGATGTCAGCGAGATCCTCAGCATGAAGGGCATCAGCAAGGAGAGCATGTTAGCATCAAACTTGAAAGACGCGCAGTCAGCCTTTGAGAACAGAGGCGTGGACGAGGATGGCATCGACACTTCGCAGTTCACGGAGAAGGAGATGGCGGAGTACAACGTGTGGGCCAAGGCGAAGGAATCGGACTTCTTCTTCGCTGCGAACGGCGCGAACGGCAACAAGCTGGCTGGCAGGTTCCAGCGCTACAAGCAGGCGAATCCCAAATTCAAGCAGGACTACGAGGCGCTCTCCATCGACGGACGGCCGAACCACGACGCCCAGGCGAAGTTCCGCAGATATTGGGCATTGGCCAAGTTCGAGAACTACAAGATCGAGCACACGAGAACGACCACGCACAAGCGCACCAACTGGAAGAGGGGTCAGTACTTGGCGGTCGGACGGATCGCCAAGAAAGAAGGCGGCGGCTCGCTTGGCTGGCTACAGGCTCGGAGCAGAAAATCCTCGCATCCCTCATTCCTCAATCTCCCCCTGCCTCACTCGCATCCTTCTGACGTTCGCCTTTCTCCCGCTCTCTATTCGTATTATCGCTCTCAGCCCCGCCTGACTGGTGGGGCATGGCGGTGGGATAGAGCACGTGCAGAATTTCCGAGCTCGTCGAGAGGGCCTTCTCCTCTCCCGCATCATTCACTCTCCCCTGGTGCCTACTTGTACTTCTATACTGCCACCTCCCTCCCTCACCCCTCATCCACATCCTCGTCCTCTTCCTCCTCCTCGTCCTCCTCCTCCTTCTCTTCCTCCTCCTCCTCCTCCTTCCCCACTCTATTCTCTCGCCCATCCTTTCTCCCGCCAACTCCCTGCCCTCCTCCTCCTCCTCCTCCTCCTCCTCCTCCTCCTCCTCCTCCTCCTACTCCTCGATCCTCGTTATCCTGATACCTCCTCCCCCTCCTCCTCCTCGCCCTCTTTTTTTTGAAGCCACTCCCAGGCGACTAGATACATTCTCAAGGCGATCCAGCTCGGCCCGCCGTGGGTCGCCTACTGCGACGTGCGGCGGTCGCTCCGCGTCCTTTACGTTGAGGAGGGTGTCGACTCGGAGTTCTCGGTCGCCTGGACGAAGCACCAATCCTGGTCTGAGGCCGCCATCGAGTGCGCCGAGACCAAGAAACGCAGGTCGGAGCAGGCGTTTTTTGGGTGCATCTGCAAACCAACATAATGGTGACTTCCAGACCAAGTGAATTGTTTTGCCAGTAGGCCTCAATGTTCAATCGTCTGGGTTTAAACGGTGTGGAGGCCATCCAGCGTTGAATTCGGAGGCTCATTGTGGCTTCGTTGACGCCGCTAGGATATGCATCAGAGTCGGCGTCGGAGTTCGGATGGCTCTCACTCCTGAAGTGTCTTCCAGGTCTCCCAGCCTCTCGCAGCCCCCCCTGGAGCTCGGTGCATCGCAGAGCTAGGTAGATTTCAGCATCCCTGCGCGTGTCAAGCCCCAGGGCGAGATGATCAAGGACGCCATCAACGCGCTCGCTGACTCCATCGCCCAGAAGGACTGCGGGGGCGGGCATGCAATATCAGGTTGCCTCATATGTGTTTATGTGTAGACTGCTTCTCGGAGTTTGACATTCGAGTTTGTTTTCGTTTGGGCAGAGGAGTTCTGTGGTGGATGGGGTGAGGAGCGGGCGGAATCTGCAGTCCGCAGCAGGACGAGTCCCGACAGCCGACCAAGAAGCAGCGCACCGAGGCGATCACCGAGGGCATCAAGGGCGTGATCGAGCGCACCAGCGCGACGGGCGAGGAGAAGCAGGCCGCGGGTGTTCGCAGAGAGGAGAAGCCAGTGAAGGAGGCTGCAGCTGCGGAGTCAGGCGCTGCTGCGGTCGGTGCTGCTGGTGGTGGCGCCCCTGCTGAGCAGTCCCCTGCAGCCAAGGGCCGCAACGAGGGCGCCAAGGGCCGCAGCCGTGGGCAGTCGAGCGAGGCAGGCACGCCCAAGGCGGGCAAGTCCTCCGCGCAGGATGACAGCATCAAGGCCCCGACTACGGAGGGTAAGCAGATCATCTTGAGGTACCACACTTCGATCGGGCTGGCAGACGGCATATGCTACAACATCAACGATGACAGCACCTGGGCATGCCTCAAGGGCGACGACGACGCCAAGGCCTTGATCAGGGCAGTGGCCGACGTCCGTCACAAGGTCCACTCCACTGGGCTCAGCAAGACATTGACTGCTGAGTCGCTGCAGGCTCTCAGGAAGAATGTCGGAGACGGGGAGTACATCAGCCACCTGCACAGGCTGAGGGAGTTAGATAGGAAGATCAAGGATCTGATGAAGCTGACCTCTAGGGTCAAGATGATTCACAGGGTGAAGACTGCCGAGTCAGACTAGGGCTGGAAGCCCGCTTGCAGACTCACTCTCTTCAGATAGGCAGTTTTTGCATGCTCGAGTGCAGGCTTTTCTGGTTTAGGGAATACTAAGGGGGAAAGCGAGATTACTGTCTCAACGAGGGGAGGAGGGGGGGTTTA